GGGGCTTCGTAAAACTGGACCTGAGTGTGTCCCAGCCTCTCTGCCTCTCCTGGTCCCTGTTGTCTTCCTGCAGTAACCAGAGCTCATGTGTTCATATCTGTGACTGTGAAGTCTGTTTGGCCCTTCAGGGATCAGGGCGGTTGGCTCCAGGGTAGAGGTGTTGTCGACTGTCTTGCTTTCAGGCCCCAGGCTGGCAGGATCCCTCCACTCCCCTGTCCAGCTGTGCCAAGACCTCTCCTTTTCTTTCTTAGCTTCTGCCCTGTTCGTACAGTGATTGGCCCAAGAGAGGTATGGGCTGGCAGGTGCCCTACACAGAGCCTGGAGGCAGCATCCAGGCCTGGCTGACCCACCTCAGGGCCCCCTGCCAGTGCCCCCAGCCAAGCTGGGTCCCCTCCTTCCTGCCCGGCTGAAACAGGGCCTGGAAGGGCACAGTGGCAGGCCCTCTGTGATGCTCCTGTTGCCATGGTGATCCTAGATGAGAAAGCCATAGCATTCCACCTCTGGAATCTCCATGCATCTGCCCAGCTCTGCTACATCTGCCCCGAGAGATGGCTCTCTGCTGGGGGGCTCCTCAAAGCCATGGTCTCTATTGCAGTCAGAGTCTCCTCTGTGCACCCCCATCCCTCAGACCTCTTTTCAACCCCACTACCCTAACTGGTGAGACTAGTTTCACCACTCAGAAACTGACCTCCACTGGAAAGATGACAGACAACAGGTTAGTGGAAAAGGCACAGGATTTAAAATCAGAAGACCCAGTTTCCAATCCCAACCTGGCTCTTTATAACCATGCTACCTTGGACAAAGCAGGCTTTGAACTTCAGTGTCCTCTTCTGTGTACGATGTGGATAATAATGCCTTACTTAACTATTCTCAGTAATGCCTCTGTGACTTTTCATGGGCTGTTCCTCTGATATGTAATGCATTTTCATTCTTCTCAACTCAAACTCCTACTCATACCTCAAGACCCAAATGCTCCCATCTCTGTAAAAGTTTCCCTGACCTCCGTGCACATGGCACAGATATTAGGCCTTGTCCCTCTGTGTTAGGGCTATTTAAGCATTATCCTGGTTTTTAGTGACCATGAATTCTTCTTGTAAATATTGTTTGTTTATTTTTGGCTGTTGGGTCTTCACTGCTGCACACAGGCTTTGCTTTCTCTCGTTGCTGGAGTCGGGGCACACAGGTTTCTCACTTCAGTGGCTTCTCTTGTTGCGGAGCAGGGGCTTGAGATTGTGTGGGCTCAGTAGTTGTGGCACTAGGCCTTAGTTGCCCCGTGGCATGGGGAATCTTCCTGGACCAGGGATTGAACTCATGGCCCTTGCACTGGCCGGCGAATTCTTAACCACTGGGCCACCAGGGAAGTCCAATCATGAATTCTTGAAGGCAGGAATCGGATTAGGCTCAGTCCTGGCATCAGAAATGGTTTGTTGACTGACTGTGGAATGGAAAGCAGAAGAGACTGACACAGATGCGTTTGGGCCCCATCCTTGCAGGGTTCAATCCTGGGACCTTCGTCCAACATTGATTGGGTCAATTAGGCTTCATGGTGGCCTTTCCGTGTGCCTGAGTCATGCCTGCCTGGCTGCGGACATTTACATGACTGAGACCCGGTGGTAAAGACCATGACTTATGCCTGGGGTGTGCCTGTCTTAGGAGTGGGGTGTGACCAGGAGCAGCTGCTCATGGGGTGTCTCTGGGGATGTCCTGGGGCAACTCAGTCAACTGGTCCTGCTGGGATTTGGGGCGCACTGCCAAGGAACTCGAGGTTCAGGGAAAGGCAGGGAGGACTCCAGTGTCTCCCGACTCCCTCTCCTGGCTCTCTGGCTGCTGGTCAGGGTCAAGGAGATGAAGTGCCATCCAGTGCCAGTTTCACCATCCACACAGACCAGTGACCAGGCTTCCCAGGCCAAAGCCAGCTGGTCAAGGGCGCCCTCCAGTGGCCACCACAGTTGGAGGCAGGAACCTGATTGCACAAAGGCAGATGGTTCCTTTATTCCAACACCGAGAAAGTGTCCTCAGGCCAAGTGTGGTGTCAGGCATAGGTTTCAATTTTAATTTTAAATGTTTAAGCATGTGCTAAATGGAAAGCTCTCCCTCCTGAGTGTTGTTATGTGTTGGTGGGTGAAGAGGGAATACAAGGAAGGAAAAAAATTCTCTCACAGCAGTGATCCTCAACCCACACCACCCACTAGACTCACCTGGGGAACTTGGAAAATACCAACCACAGGACCCCACCCAGACCAGCTGACTCTGGAGGGCGGGGCAGAGGCACCAAGGATTTGTGGATGTTCCCCAGGGAGAGTTAACAGCCATAAGAACTCTCTGGTTTGGAGAGTTGACTATAATGTTTTGCACCCAACATTCTCACCTGGCTGCTGAGGTAGGCATTATTGTCCCACTTCACAGATGAGGAGACTGAGGCTCAGGTAAACCTGCCCCTTTCCCCAGTTTGGTTAAGGACAGTGTTGGGGAAGAAGTCTCCCACAGCACAGGCAGCAGAGATGCAGTGAATACTCCTCGAAGATGGCCCCTGATCTCTGCAGAGACTCCCTTTTAACAGTAACGGCACGACTGTTTGCTGTGATTAGAAGAGCACCCAAGGGCGTTGTGGAATTGTTTCTTTTTCCAGGCAGAGAATTATAAAGGCCAAAATGCCATGCAAAAAATCACCTGCAGTCTCAGCATCGTTAACACTGGGGCGGAGTGTGGGGGTGGGTAGGGAAGAGGAAAGTGAAGGAGAGAGGGAGGGGGCAGGAAGGAGTGGGTTTATTTTAAGGCTCAAGGTCACATTGTAAATCAGGACTTTAGAATGTGTGGTTGGGAGCCCACTGGCATGATAATTCCCCCAGTGCTTGTTAGACATACAGCATCCCTCAGGTCTCAGAATCAGGCTCTGGAGAAAGATCCTGAGACGCCACATATTTAAAAAACATTCCAGCCACCGAAGACCAAGCGCCACTGCTGCTTCAAGCTTTCACTTAATACAAGAGGAGATACCTCCTAGACTCCATCACTTCCAGTGGCTTAGGAGAGTTCTCACATATGGATTGATGGATTAAAATGGACGGAACCAGCTGTTGCGACGTTAACCAGCCTTCCTTGGGGACTTGGGCACGCACTCCCCTATTGCACGGGCTGGCTGGGAGCCAGCAGCATAAGCAACTGCAGTGTCATCCCGCACCAGGCCCTGTCCCCACACAGCAGCCCCCTTGCCCCTCCTTCTCCTTCCAGGGCTCTAAAGCAACCTACTAACTGGGCCCTGCCAGCCAATCACAGCCCGAATAATCTATGATGTCACCAGCAGCCAATCAGAGCTCCTCAAGAGTATGTGCAGAATTTTGTCATCTCCCTGAGGGGATGGAGTTCCAAAGCAACGCCATCCTTTTTCAGAGAGGGACACTGAGGCCTAGGGAGAAGCAGAGGCCCACCCAGGGTCACCTCCTCAGGTGGCAGAGCCAGGGCTAGAAGCCAGAACTTCTGACTGTGGTCCAGTGTTCTTTCTGGTACCCAAAGTGCGGCACAAGCCCACAGGTCCTGGTCAAAGTCTCCCCTCTCTTGATGGCTCCTGGCATTGGAGATAAGGCCCAAGGCCCCCTCTTCCCCACAAGATCTTGCTCTCCCTGCAAGACCTCGGGGATCAGAAACAGACCCCTCAGTTTAGGGCCCAGAGGAAATGGCAGGATCATCAAGGCCCAAGGTGGAGGGGGTTGCCCTCAATTCCAGCCCTGGTCTCAACCCAACCCCCACCCCCATCCTCCGGAAGGAATTAGAGAGGCCCTGGCTGGACTGTGCTGCCTGCTGCTTAAGGGGAGATTACGAGGAGGGGGCCAAGACAAGGGCTCCTTTGTGGAGGGCCTCTGGCTTAGAGAGTCAAGTGACCATATAGCACACACGTGGGCAGTGCCAACCCCTAAGTGTGGGCAGGGGCACTGGCCATAGGACCCCAGAGAGTCCCACCAGTCCTGTGGCCAGAACTTTTGTGGGATCGCCTGGCCAACCAGGAGCCCGAGCTGTAAGTAAGGGGTTATCCCAGCAGGCTGGGCTGGGGCTCTGAGGGCCACTGGGGTGGATGACCCTGCACATGTGCCCATGGTGGGTACACACAGGTATGTGGGCACCTGTGTGTCTGTGCAAAGGCCCTGAGGTGGGAATGAACTTAGGGAACACCAGGCACAGAGACGGCCAGTGTGGCTGCACCAGAGCAGGGGGAGGGTGGCCAATCAGGAAATTTTTTTGAGCACCTCCTATGAGAACACAATGGGAGCTTCCATTCCCAGGAGGGAATAAGCAGTAAACATGCAGATAGCCTGCAAAATATAACTGCGAGTGTAACACGATAAGTGTTATGTAGAAAAATCAAGCAAGGTGAGGAGAAGAGAGGGCTGGTGGTACTAGGAGGCTATTTCCAGGTAGGGTGGCTGGGGACATTCTTTCTGAGGAAAAGATCTAAAGTGGGAGTGAGCCATACAGTTAAATTAGGAAGAGTGTCCCCCAGGAACGAGGATCAGCAGGTGGAAAGGCCCTGGGGTCATCATTCGGTCACATCTCTACCATCCAAGCTCTGTTCTGAGCACTGGGGACAGGGTGGTGGCCAAGGCTGCCCATGTCCTTTACCAGTTCTTACTCCAGGGTGGCGGGCAGAGCTTGAGGTGGGGGGCACTGAACTTGATAGGCTTAGAACACAGGAAGGAGCCCACACAGGTTTTTGGACACTTGTGTTGCTGCCTTTGTAGTACAATTAAAGGGGACAGACTTCTGTGTGTCCTCCACACCAAGGCTAAGGACAGCCCCTGAGCTCAATTCCCTAGCTTCTTGGAGGGTACCTCCCTGCCCCCCTCCCAGTGTCCAGATGGGAGAACTGAGGCCCAGAGCAGGGAAGGGTCACTCACGAGTTCTGGACAGATGCTGAAGGGGTCCCTGCTCCCTCCTGCCCGCCCCCATCAGTATCCCACTTTGTCCACCAGGACCCAAGCCCACCTGCTGCAGCCCAGGGCCTGGCCATGACTGTCACCTACTCGAGCCAAGTGGCCAATGCCCGTTTAGGCTCCTTCTCCCGCCTGCTGCTGTGCTGGCGAGGCAGCATCTACAAACTGCTCTACGGCGAGTTTCTCATCTTTCTGCTCTGCTACTACATCATCCGCTTCATTTACAGGTTCGGGGGGACAAGGGGGGACAGCTCCAGAGCTTGGAGCTCCAGAGGCCTCAGCGATCTAGGAGGCCAATGCACAGAGACCTATAAGTCTGTGCTAAGCTTGTGGAAAACCCCTAGGGCTGGGGGCTGGAGACCTGGGGGCTGGGGAGAGGAAAGGAGACAGCCAGGAGGGAAACGCAGGGCAGGTCAGAACATCTCAGACACCCTTTCCTCCATCCCAGGGAGGGCCCTTATCTGGTCCCATCCAGTTAGCCTGTTTTCCTGAATCCTACATGGTATCTCTCACAGGCCCAGACCATGCTTTTTTCCCCCAATACAAACGTTTATTTAAGCAGGATAGCAATATATTCTGTTGTCAATAAAACTACAGAATATATAATATAGCATTTTTAATGAGAAAAGCATTAGTGATGACAATGAATTGAAAAATATCAAATACATAAATTTCTTGAGTTCATAAGGATAATACTAATAACAGCACATTTGTTTTCTTGGGTTGTTACTAGGGTACCAAAATACTTTAGAAAATTAGGCTTTATTTTTTAGAGCAGTTTTACGGGGCAGTAGCAAGACTGAGCAGAAGGTACAGAGAATTCGCATATACCCAACCCCCTCCCGCCACACACACAGCCTTCCCCACTATCAACATTCTACCAGAGAGCAGGATGTCTGTGATAATAGATGAACCCACATTGACACCTCATTATCACCCAAAGTCCATAGTTTATGTTAGAGTTCCTCCTTGGTGATGTACACTCTATGGGTTTGGACAAATGTGTAATGACTTGCATCCACCATTACAGTGTCATACAGAATAATTTCATTGCCCTAAACCCTAAAACCCCCTCTGTGCTCTACCAATTTGTTCCCTCACCAGACATTTTTTTCAAAGACAAAACACTTTATTTCAACATTTTAAAATATATTATTTTTATTCATTTGGCTGCACTGGGCCTTAGTTGTGGCACACTAGATCTTTAGTTGTGGCATGTGGGATCTAGTTCCCTGACCAGGGATCGAACCTGGGCCCCCATATTGGGAGTGGAAGTCTTAGCCACTGGACCACCAGGGAAGTCCCTCAACCTGCTTTCAAACAACTGTCTTTTGGATCCTTTAAAAGAGTCAGCAGTGCCTAAAACTGACTCCTTCAGCAGGACCTGCCTTCCTCGACATCACAGAAAACTTCCTGAGGCTTTCTCCTCCAGGCATGGAGCAGAAGCCCCATTGGGGTTTGGGGGCTGTGGGAGAAAGAAGGGGGACCTGGCTCAGGCCAGAGGAGGGGCCCCAGGCAGGCCAATGAGAGACAGGGAGGAAATGAGACTGCCACTCTCTTACCCTGGGAGTGGCTGGACCTGGAACGGATCTCAGCCATCTCCTAGTGTCTACACATCTTTGCCCCCAACGCCTCACCTCCCCCAGGATGGCCCTCACAGACGAACAGCAGGTGATTTTTGAGAAGCTAACTCTGTATTGTGACAGCTACATCCAGCTCATCCCCATCTCCTTCGTACTGGGTGAGCTCCCCTTTCCACGCGTGGGGGTCCCGGTGGCTTCTCCAGGCTCCAGACAGGCAGATCACGAGGAGCTCCTGGGAAGGCCGGTTGCACGTCAGTGCCTCTCGGTGGTTCAGGGAAATGGAGAGCCTGCAGCCAGAGGGACTGACATTAGGCATTAGGAAAAATGTCCAGCTAAGAGCACTTGAGATTCCACTTTCTGAGGGCAGGGGTCTCTGGAGCCTTACGCAGGAGGGGAGGGATCCGGCGGATTTCCGGGAAAGCCAGTGGGGCCACAGGGAGAACTCAATCAAGGCTCTCGTGCCTTCACGCAAGGCTCTGATGGTCTCTCCTTCCCGAGGGCCTTCCAGCAGCATTGGGGTTGGGTTCAGCCAATTAGAAGGATGGAGAAACCGAGGCATCGCCCTCGCTGGGCTCTGGCCGCAGCGTGGGCCTTCGCCCCTCGCCCCCCGTGCCCCTCTGCCCAGGCTTCTACGTGACGCTAGTCGTGACCCGCTGGTGGAACCAGTATGAGAACCTGCCGTGGCCCGACCGCCTCATGAACCTGGTGTCGTCCTTCGTGGAGGGCAAGGACGAGCAAGGCCGGATGCTGCGGCGCACGCTCATGCGCTATGCCAACCTGGGCAACGTGCTCATCCTGCGCAGCGTCAGCGCTGCGGTCTACAAACGCTTTCCCAGCCCACAGCACCTGGTGAAAGCAGGTGGGGCCAAGCGGGGGCAGTGGGCGGGGCCAGAGGGTGATGGGGCGGAGCCGCAGCTGAAGATGGGTGGAGTCAGAGGTCCCTGGGCTGAGGATTGGGTGGGACCAGGGGGGTGGGCTCGAGATCTGGTGGGCAGGGACCTGAATTGGGCGGGGCGGTTCAGGGGCCTAAAAGTGGGTAGAGGCCAGGAACCGACTCAGAAGACAGGGCTTTGAGACAGGGCTAAGGACTCATGGAGGGGTCAGATAACAGTGAGGGTTGAGGGCCCCAGTGGGGCTTCGGGAACTAGTGAGGAACCAGAGTCCACCTCCGTCTGCTCTTTCGCTTCCTGCTGTCTGGTTTGCAGCCTGTATGTCAGCAACCTCTGTCTCTGGCTTGCCTGACGAGATCCTGGTTAATAAGACAGATCCCTCTCTCGTCTTCAGCCCAGAGTATCACAGAGTAGAAATTCAGTGATTATTTGTTGAGAGAAAGAGGATGGCAAAGGAGCGCTGAGGTCCTTGTGGGCTCAGCAGGGACTTGGTCTTGAACTCTGAACCCGTCCAGGCAAGGCCTGGCCAGCCACGCCTTCTGCAGCTTCTCCTGCCCACTGTCTTCTCCACTCTCTCCTCCAGGCTTCATGACACCCTCGGAACACAAACACTTACAAAAACGGAGCTTGCCACACAACTCGTTCTGGATGCCCTGGGTGTGGTTTGCCAACCTGTCAACAAAGGCATGGATTGGAGGTCGGATTCGGGACCCTATCCTGCTCCAGAGCCTGCTCAACGTGAGCCCATTACATTGATGGGGTTGCTGCGGAGCGGGCAGGGTCCTGCCCCACGAGGAACAGGTCTCCTACAAAGAGAAGGCCTGAGCCCCCGAGGGTCTTCCCAGAGCCGGCCTTGCGACTGTAAGATCTCTCCCAACAGGATTCCATAGCCCAAGGTGGCCCCTTTGCAGTTCCCCCTCCCATCCTCTCTCTAAAGTGAACCTCCAAGATCCTGGTTCCTTTTTGATAGTTGAGGAGGCTGAGGCACAGAGAGGTGAAGTGAGTTGTTCATGACCACACAGCCAGGGTCTGAGCTTCAGACCCTGGTATCTGGGGATGAGCTGGGGGCTGAGGCTGGAGAGCAGGTGGTGGTCAAGAGGGACCACCCTCTTGACCCTCCCTTCCTTCCTGCTCCCCTAGGAAATGAACACCTTGCGTACTCAGTGTGGACAGCTGTATGCCTACGACTGGATCAGCATCCCACTGGTGTACACTCAGGTGAGGACTAGGCTGGTGAAGGTGCCCCTTTGGGAAACTGAGAAGGACCCAGGGAGCAGCCTATGATGAGAAGGGCTCACTTAGAGACTGAAGAAGAGGCTACCTCTGGAAATCACGCCTGGACTCTGCAGGGTCTTTTTAGTGCCAAGTTCAAAGAGTTTGGGCCCCTGCCTGGTCCAGGCAGTGGAGGCAATGTGATTACCCCCATTTGATTTAATTTATTTTTTTTCGGCTGTGCTGTGAGGACTGTGGGATATTAGTTCCCTGTCCAGGGATGAACCCAGCCTCTCAGCAGTGAGAGTGTGGAGTCCTAACCACTGGACTGCCAGGGAATCCCCTCCCCATTTTATTTTTTAATTTTTATTAATTGGAGGCTAATTACTTTACAATATTGTAGTGGTTTATGCCATACATTGACATGAATCAGCCATGGATTTACATGTGTTCCTCATCCTGAACCCCCCTCCCGCCTCCCTCCCCATCCCATCCCTCTGGGTCTTCCCAGTGCACCAGCCCCGAGCACTTGTCTCATGCATCCAACCTGGGCTGGTGATCTGTTTCACACTTGATAATAGACATGTTTCGATGCTGTTCTCTCAGATCATCCCACCCTCGCCTTCTCCCATAGAGTCCAAAAGTCTGTTCTATACATCTGTGTCTCTTTTTCTGTCTTGCATATAGGGTTATCATTACCATCTTTCTAAATTCCATATATATGCATTAGTATACTGTTTTGGTGTTTATCTTTCTGGCTTACTTCACTCTGTATAATGGGCTCCAGTTTCATCCATCTCATTAGAACTGGTTCAAATGAATTCTTTTTAATGGCTGAGTAATATTCCATTGTGTATATGTACCACAGCTTTCTTATCCATTTGTATGCTGATGATCATCTAGGTTGCTTCCATGTCCTGGCTATTACAAACAGTGCTGTGATGAACATTGGGGTGCACGTGTCTCTTTCAGTTCTGGTTTCCTCAGTGTGTATAGCCAGGAGTGGGATTGCTGGGTCATATGGCAGTTCTATTTCCAGTTTTTTAAGGAATCTCCACACTGTTCTCCATAGTGGCTGTACGAGTTTGCATTCCCACCAACAGTGTAAGAGGGTTCCCTTTTCTCCACATGCTCTCCGGCATTTATTGCTTGTAGACTTTTGGATAGCAGCCATTCTGACTGGCGTGTAATGGTACCTCATTGTGGTTTTGATTTGCATTTCTCTGATAATGAGTGATGTTGAGCATCTTTTCATGTGTTTGTTAGCCATCTGTATGTCTTCTTTGGAGAAATGTCTGTTTAGATCTTTGGCCCATTTTTTGATTGGGTCATTTATTTTTCTGGAATTGAGCTGCAGGAGTTGCTTGTATATTTTTGAGATTAATCCTTTGTCTGTTGCTTTGTTTGCTATTATTTTCTCCCATTCTGAAGGCTGTCTTTTCACCTTGCTTATAGTTTCCTTTGTTGTGCAAAAGCTTTTAAGTTTAATTAGGTCCCATTTGTTTATTTTTGCTTTTACTTCCAATATTCTGGGAGGTGGGTCATAGAAGATCTTGCTGTGATTTATGTCAGAGAGTGTTTTGCCTATGTTCTCCTCTAGGAGTTTTATAGTTGCTGGTCTTACATTTAGATCTTTAATCCATTTTGAGTTTATTTTTGTGTATGGTGTTAGAAAGCATTCTAGTTTCATTCTTTTACAAGTGGTTGACCTTTTTTCCCAGCACCACTTGTTAAAGAGGTTGTCTTTTTTCTATTGTATGTTCTTGCCTCCTTTGTGGAAGGTAAGGTATCCATAGGTATGTGGATTTATCTCTGGACTTTCTATTTTGTTCCATTGATCTATATTTTCTGTCTTTGTGCCAGTACCATACTGTCTTGATGACTGTGGCTTTGTAGTAGAGCCTGAAGTCAGGCAGGTTGATTCCTCCAGTTCCATGCTCCTTTCTCAAGATTGCTTTGGCTATTCGAGGTTTTTTGGTATTTCCGTACAAATTGTGAAATTATTTGTTCTAGTTCTGTGAAGAATACCATTGGTAACTTGATAGGGATTGCATTGAATCTATAGATTGCTTTGGGTAGTATACTCATTTCCACAATATTGATTCTTCCAATCCATGAACATGGTATATTTCTCCATCTATTTGTGTCCCCTTTGATTTCTTTCATCAGTGTTTTATAGTTTTCTATGTACATTACAGGTCTTTTGTTTCTTTAGGTAGATATACTCCTAAGTATTTAAAAATATGGAACGCTTCACAAATTTGCATGTCATCCTTGCGCAGGGGCCATGCTAATCTTTTCTGTATCATTCCAATTTTAGTATATGTGCTGTTGAAGCAAGCACTCCCCTCCCCATTTTAAAGAAGAGATCACGGAGACCCAAAGTCACATGAGTGTGCAAGTCAGAGCAAGGCCTGTCCTCCCAGCCTAGGGAGCCTCCTGACCCCACAGTCCCCACCCAGCCCGTATCTGCCACTCCCTCCCTTCCCTCCCAGGTGGTGACCGTGGCAGTATACAGCTTCTTCCTGGCTTGCCTGATTGGGCGGCAGTTTCTGAACCCAGCCAAGGCCTACCCTGGCCATGAGATGGACCTCGTTGTACCCCTCTTCACATTCCTGCAGTTCTTCTTCTATGCTGGCTGGTTGAAGGTGCGTCTCCTGGGACAAGGCTGGCTGTGGCCCAAGGGTCATGGCCAACCAGGATAGGAGGGTCCCTACATTGTGGCTTTGGAGACAGTAGTCAGGCAGGAAGGACATCATTGAGGGGGTGGAGGGGTGGAAATGGCAGGAGCCCAGGTTTAAGGGTGGGTGCAAGGCTGCAGGGGCTTCCACCTGAGGATTTCCGGAACCTCATTTACCCTCAAGGTGGCAGAGCAACTCATCAACCCATTTGGAGAGGATGACGATGACTTTGAGACCAACTGGATTGTTGACAGGAGCTTGCAGGTATGAAGGGAGGAAGAGAACCTGTCCCCTGGACCCAGGGAGGAGGCCCACAGTTCTGTGAATTGCCCTCCAACCATTCACTCCCAGGATTCTAACTTCTGAGGCTATAGGTAGCATCAGTCTCTTCATTTCAGAAGGGTATCTGAGGCCCAAAGAGAGAGAAGTGACCCCTCCAAAATGTTAGGTGCTCATTTGTGTCAGACTCTGCAACCCCACGGACTGTAGGCCGCCAGGCTCCTCTGTCCATGGAATTCTCCAGGCAAGAATACTGGAGTGGATTGCCATTCCCTTCTCCAGGGGATCTTCCCAACCCAGGGATCAAACCTGGGTCTCCCGCATTGCAGGCAGATTCTTTACCATCTGAGCCACCTGTGACCTCTCCAAGTCACCTGGCAAATTCATGGTCAGTTACGGCTTACCTTTCTGTTGGACTTCTCCTTCTGTCCCTGATGACCAGGTGTCCCTATTGGCTGTCGACGAGATGCATCAGGACTTGCCACCGATGGAGCGAGATATGTACTGGAATGAGCCAGAACCACATCCCCCCTACACAGCTGCTTCTGCCCAATCTCGCCGACCTTCCTTTTTTGGCTCCACCTTCAACATCAGGTGGGAAGTGCCAGGGAGCCACTTCAGCGGGTATAAAACCCCAAATGCAAGGGTCTGCTTAATTAAGAACTTAGAGTTAGTTAATGCATGTGCATGCTCAGTTGCTCAGGCATACCCAACTCTTTGTGATCCCATGGACTGTAACCCACCAGGCTCCTCTGTCCATGGCATTTTCCAGGCAAGAATACTGAAGTGGATTGCCATTTCCTCCTCCAGGGGATATTCCCATCCCAGGGATTGAACCCATGTCTCCTGCATTGGCTGTTTACCACTGAGCCACCAGGGAAGCCAGTTAATGCATATTGGGTGTCTTTTTAAGTGCTGGGCATTGTACTCTGCTCTTTATATGTATATATAAGCCATTCTGTTCTTGTTCCACTAACCTTGGTTTGTTATCTTTAGTTTTTAGATGATTAAGTCCAGGTTCAGAGAGTTTAAATCAGTTGCCCAACCCAAGGTCACATAGCTAGCAAGCAGCACAGGTGGGCCAGGTATGTCTGGTTCCAACTCCACACCCTTAACACTCATCTTGTGCTGTGTAAGGACTCTTAAAGCTATAAGGGCCCTTAGGTACCTCCAATCAAACCCTTCTGTGTCCAGAGTTGGAAACTGAGGCTCAGAGAGAGAAGGGACTTACTCAAGGGCAGTCAGTGGTTAGTGATGCAGCTATGTCAGGGCCTGGTTCCTGACTCTGGCTTAGAATTCTTGTTTTCTAATAAGCTGGGGTGTTTGGATGAAGAGTGGGAGTGGGGTTCCCTGGGCAAGGGAGCAAGCAGGAGGTTGGGTCATCACAGGCACCTTCTGAGTAGACTTCTTACTAAAGGATATAGGCCTCATGTCACCCACAGCAGCCACACTTTGCCCCACATGGGTCCTGTTTCCCTGATTTGGTTAGAACCTCTAGAGTTGTAGCTGGGCCACAGTGGGCCAAGGGGCTGCCCCAGACAGCTCTGTCTCCCCAGATGACAGAGTGGGGGGAACTTTGGAGAGTGTTCGCTGCATCTCAGGGTCCATCCCATCAAGGTTTTCTGCTGCATGATTAAAAGCACTGTTCTCTTTCTAAGAACTGAATATCCTATTAAGCAGTCAGACCCCACTCCAGTACTCTTGCCTCGAAAATCCCATGGATGGAGGAGCCTGGTAGGCTGCGGTCCATGGGGTCGCTAAGAGTCGAACACAACTGAGCGACTTCACTTTCACTTTTCACTTTCATGCATTGGAGAAGGAAATGGCAACCCACTCCAGCATTCTTGCCTGGAGAATCCCAGGGATGGGGGAGCCTGGTGGGCTGCCATCTATGGGGTCACACAGAGTCGGACACGACTGAAGCAACTTAGCAGCAGCAGCAGCAGCAGCAAGTTAAGAAATTTAGAGTCCAGTTTGTGTAAGGAAGGTTTGGATAAGTGATCAAATGATTAAGGATGGAGGCTTGCTTAGGTCAGAAAAGTTGCTGGAGATCGCCTCTTCTCATGGACTGTACTTCAGCAGCTGGGTAAGGTGGATAACAGAGACTAATAACACATAGACTTGCCTCCAAGAAGCACAGTTGAGTGAGGGAGCTCAAATCCAGGGCCCAGTCTCTGATACAAGGTACAAAGTACTGGATGCCTGGGTAAGGGACAGAGTATAGAACAGAGATCACCTTTGGCCACCTGAGAGGTGGCCTCCAGCTGAACTAGGAGCTGGACCGTGAAGCATGGGGAGAATCTGGACATGGGCCAGGGCAGCCACATTCTGGGGTAGGTAGGTTTTGCTTCAGAGTATAGGCTTTGGACTCCCAGGAAGTCAGGTTTTTCCCTGTACCTGGGGACAAATAATTGATTGCCTGGAGTGAGGGGTTTTAAAAGGAAAATGTGAGTGCTGAAGAGGAAGTCCTTAAATACCTGGCTGGGAAGTTTGGACATTAACAGGGACAAGACGTGAGCTCAGCCAGGAGGGATTAATTGAGAGGTACAGGATGAATCAGCAGAGAGGCAAGTCTAAGGTGAGGTGAGGAAGACTGTTGTAGGCCTAGGGCCAGAGGGAGGGAGATGAGAAGGTACAGAAGTCACATCAGGCTTCGGGCCATTGGCCCTCCACTAACCCCGGGGTCTTCTGTTTCTTTCCAGTCTGGATAAGGAAGACATGGAGTTTCAGCCAGATCTAGAGGAGCAAGAGGGTGCTCACACTGGCATCATTGGCCGCTTCCTAGGGCTGCAATCCCACGACCGCCAGTCCCCCAGGACAAACTCAAAAACCAAACTACTGTGGCCCAAGAAAGAAGTCCTTTCGCATGAGAACCAGCCCAAGAACCTTGGAGGGGCCGGACAGAACACTAGCGACCAGGAAGACAGCAAGGCCTGGAAGGGGGAAGATGTTTTCAAGTCCGCGGTGCTCTATGGAAGGTCAGGCTACCACAGTGCCCCACAGACACCACTCAGCCACACCCCTATGGTCTTCCCACCTGGACAGTCAGCACCCTCAAGTCTTCGCAGAATCTCAGGCATAGATGACCCTATCAAAGATCAAAGCCTTCATCCTGCAACCCCCAGGTCCAAGAAGAGTTTTGAATTGCTCCCAGAGAATCCTGGGGCCTCAACAGAGCACCCAGAAGCGATTCACATGAAGAGGAAAACTGTCGAGTTTAACCTGATGGACATGTCAGAGGCCCCTGAACATCTCAGAGAACCACATTTGGGACAGTCAACAAGCAACATACACACTATACTCAAAGATCATGGAGATCCTTATTGGGACTTGGAACAACAGGTCTGTCCTCTACTCAAACCAGGGCCACTAACCCCCCAGCTCCCCAGGGGTGACCCTCACCAGCTTCCCTTGCTCTGAATCCCCTTTTGTTCACAATTCTCCTGTGGTCCTGTGACAGCCAGAGCATGCTGGCCCTATGCCCAGCACTGGCTTAGGGTACACACCTGGCTGCCACAGCAGGCCCATGGAAAGGTGTCGGGCAACTTTTGCTTATTTCACCTAAGAGCCTGACATCACCAGGACTTCTCTGGGGCCCAGGTATAGGAAGATGAGGTAGTACTGACAGGAATGATGTCAAAGGGCCATGAGGCCAGGTTTAGATGGGCAGATGTTACCAGTGGACTGAGCTCACTTTAAGCAGGGGTGGCAAACAAAAACATGGGGCAGAACTCAGGACTCTTAAGCTGTAGCCCAAGAACTCAACTTACTGCCCAGGCTTAGCTGGGAAGTCACATATGAGCTCTGCCCCTTAACAACAGGGGTCCTGAAGCACTTCTGAGTATACCATCTACAACCCTGAGAAACAGTAGATAGGGTGGGGGAATCCAGATCCATTGGGATTATCTTATGGATCTTATGCTTTGGGGACCTCACTAAAAAGACTTCTGAACTTAAATGAGCTCTTCCTGTTTTGAGGTCAACCTAAAGCTGTTGCAATACCACCAGAGGTTTCCCTTTATTCCAGATTTCCTGGACATCCACTCACCACTCACCCAGTTAGATCTACACTACCCCACCCCTAATCACCATGTGAGAGGAAGTTTAACTTCCCATTTCTGGACTCTCAAAGCAGTTCTTCTGTGGTCATAATACATAGCTTTGAAAACTAAACGTTTAGCAAATCACTGTGGCTGGTTGAGGGGATAATAGAGCAGGCTAGCAATGAATCTCTGCTGTCTTCCAACACTATTCACTGGTGAATATTTAAGATGTCTCCATTTTTGCCTTCCTACTGCAGCTGCTATCTTACTGAAATGAAGGTATCTTTCTATACTCATGTAAACTTTCTCAAATTCTCATTAGGGATGAAGCACATTCCTAGCCTGCTTCCTCCAAGGGGGATGCTCCACCGGCCTGGTCCTACCTGCGTGTACACCAGCAGGACACTGATCCAGTCATAGGCATATAGCTGTCCACACCAAAGAGTATGTTTCTATGAAATAAATGGTTAGCTTCATGGATAACAAAAATCAGTAGTTGCAAATCTACTTTAAGCCTTAAAATGCTTTTTGTACATATAAATTGTGAGAGCTAGAGCTGCTGGAAACATAGAACACCTAATTCAGAATCAGGAGTCCTGAAGTTCTGTGTGAATTCAATACACTCAAGTCTTGCTATTTTTCCCAAACTAAGGAATTTAATAAATAAATACAAATCCTCCCCGGTGTTCCATTTTGACTAGGCCTGACTGGACCATGGTGGTACTTACACGTTCAATCAAGATGACCTAGATACTTTTCCAGCCCATCCCAAAAATTCGAGACAACAGCTGGGTACCAAATTACTTTATTTGAAGGAATGGTACTAAAGAAAGAACTTAAGTAGATGTTTTGTTACAACTTATAGAAAAGGTGAAGGTAACCCAAATATGCATGCACTGCCTTGGTGACCAGGAGTCACCCCTGTGGCTGTGGGAAGCCAGCCTGAGGCTTAGCTCTCACTGTGTCCCAGGGTGTGCTTGTCAAAGAGGTACTCTGCCATGCCAGATCCAGGGGCCCCCATCTTGCGCAGGTTGGTTACGTGGTCACCCAATTCTTTGATGGCTTCCACCTGCTCATTCAGGTAATGAGTCTCAATGAAATCACACAGCTAGAAAAGAGAATGGGCAAGAAAGTTATTGGTAAGCCTCCCCGGCCCCTCAGGCAATGATTTCCTCCATTTACTCCCAGGTGTCAGCGTACTCACATGGGGATCGTTTTTTTCAGTGGCCAGTTTGTGCAGTTCCAGTAGTGATTGATTCACACTTCTTTCCAAGCACAGCGCACATTCCATTGCATTCAGCCCATTCTCCCAGTCATCACGGTCTGGTTTCTGAATGAGAGGCGCTTAGGTGAGTGTACCTGCAACCTCTGCCATAAACACACCAAGCCAGCAAGCATCTGGTGTCACAACCGCGACTGGCACAAGGAAGAGCGCCAAGTTCCCCCGACAATGGTTTCCAACTTAATATCCTGGCTCATTACTGTCTGTCCGCTTTAGCTTAGATGGTAGGCTTGAAAAAGCACAAAAGACAAAAGCCCAAGGTCCCACCTGACAATGACAACTGGTGGCATCAGGGATTTCTGATATGTGAGGATTGCTAGGACAACCCAAGGATCTTTTGTTTACCTTGATATCCTGAAGGAAGATTCGGCCGCCTCGCTGGTTCTGCAGCTTCATTAGTCTCTCAGCATGTTCCCTCTCCTCATGAGATTGGTGAAGAAAGTACTTGGCAAAGTTCTTCAAAGCCACATCATCGCGGTCAAAATAGTAGGACTGAAAGTGGAACACGAACATGTTAGAGTCCCAAAAGAAAGCGGTCTGCTAGCTGGTTTCTCAAAATGCAGCAAGGGTCTGAGCCTAAGGAGACTGGAGCAGGGTGTGTTCCCGGATTGAATAGTAATTCATTTTTACTCTGAAACACAAAAATGAAACTTGGTCCTTGAAACTGGAAGTTTGCTTCCTGTACAATATCATGGGAACTGTCTCTACCATGAAACTCTTAAGCATTTGTTAGTGCAAAGTAAAGTTTTTACAACCACTGTCAAATTTGCTCAGAGAGACCTTGGAGTATTTACTCTGCACTATTAGCGCCTTCTCTTCTCTGAACAATCCTTGTTCAAACTTGAGCTGTCAGCTTACAGCAGGCTGATGGATTTCTAAAATTATCCCAGGTAGGCAAGTTAACAGTTACCGGAAACGCTATTGCACATTTAATGCTAAATATATTACCAGTACAAAACAAAAATTTGATTCCGTTTTACACCCTTGCTGTATTCAGGTGTTCCTAAAATGGAATGACAGTCACAGAGATCCAGGTCTGTTCCAAACTCATCTGCAACATGTCTATTCTTGGATGATTTGCACAACGCTGGCGGTTAAAAACAATTCTAACTAAAACTCTTATCACACGGCCTAAAACAAGGATTTTGGAAAACTGATTCCACGCATTACTGCATGGAAAAATATCTGGCCCCGTAACTGTTGGTGGACTTTCTCCGAGAACTAAGGGTTCAATTACGCCACAACCCTTAAGACAGAAAAAAGATAAATTAACTAGCCTGGCACAAGGACGTGACTCAGAAAGCGCCAGTGTCGGCAGAAGGGGAGATTTCTGGATATGCTTCCATTTAAGTGGGACTTAAGAGATAAGCAGAGCAGAGAGGTGCGGCTGGTTCTTCGGCCCAGGAGATAAACCATTTCGCGCCAGCTCCCAGACTTGGACACCATTACCCAGAAGGCTCCGCCGCACTGAGGGGGATGGGAGCTTAACCTCCTAACTCCACCCAACTCGCCCCCCCCATCACGTGATGGGAGGGGATGAAAATGCTAAAGTCCACTTTCCAAACTGCGGGATCGCACTGGTGGCAAGCGTAGCAACCCCATAAGGAAACTCGGCTCCCTTTAAACAAAAAAGGGTGCGCAGAAGCGGCCCCGGCCTATGGGAGCACTCCCAGGGGACAACTGCTCAAAATTTCTGCGCAGAAGTCCTCGGGGACTTGGAGCAACCTCCATTTTCCAAGAAGGACGCAAGGAGGCGGGAGACTGGAGGCGGGAGGGCCCGCCCGGGAGCCACACCCCCACCCCCACCCCACCCCGCCCCGCCGTCCGGGGAGGCCGCGCCCGCCGCCCGCCGGCCAGCCCGCGCTCACCATGGACAGGTACACATAGGAGGCGTAGAGCTCCAGGTTGATCTGGCGGTTGATGGCGGCCTCCGAGTCCTGGTGGTAGTTCTGGCGCACCTGCGAGGGGGATGCGGTCGTCATGGCGGGAGGATGAGAAGGGGCGGTGGCGGCGACGGCTGCGCTGCGCTGGAGCGGCGGCGGGGACCTTGGGCCGGTCGGAGGGTGTTGTCAAGTGGTGACGACGGCTGGCTCTGAGTAGCCTGCCGGGGCTGGGGGTGGGACGAGCAGCCGGGTTCCGTTCAAGCACTGTTGAAGCAGGAAACCGCGGCGACTCTCCGCGAAGACTGGCGCAGGTGGCCGTCGCCCGCCTCTTATAGCCGGAGCTGGCGTCAGCCCCGCCACGGCCAATCACGCTGCCCGCCTGCCGAGCCCCGCCCTTTCCGGTGCAAGCGCGGTCCCGACCAGCTGGGATGTTGGGCTGGGGGAGGGGAGGGAAAGGGACGGAGGCGGGGGCGGTGGGGGTGGGGCCTGGGGGCCCTGAAGGCAGCTGCTGGTTGTTTGCAGAGTTGGGCGCGTTTCCTGGGGTTGGAGAAGACCTGAGCGGGGAGGGGGGGCAGGAAGCCCAGCTGGAAGCCCTGACCTCGATGGCGTCCTGGGGTCTAGGAAACAACGGGAAACTGCCCCTGATCCCAGGGGCGTCGGGGCGAATCCGAGGTCCCAAAGGGCTCCCCGAGACTCTTGGCCAAGGGGACCTGAAACTTCCGAGCCCTAGAGCCGCAATTGCCACCCCCAGAGCCCGAGGTGGTTACCTCTTAATGCAAATAGGGAACCTGGAGGGTGAACGTGGGCCCGGGGAGGCCGAGTGAGGGGGGCTAAGAAAGGGGCTCGCTTTCACTTCCTCAAAGCCTAGAAAGGAGCCGAATGCAGGCGGGGTGGGGGGTCCAACGCCCGTCGCAGGTCGCCCGCCCCGCCCGCTTTGGGCTCCGGCGACCCTGTCCGCCTTTTGCTGAAAGCAAACATGGCTCCTCGTGCGTTGGATACAACAAAGACTGGGCGGGCTGTGTTTCCCGAGAGACGGCGGAGGCCGCCTTCCCGAGAGAACGGTGGGGCTGAGCCACTGTTGTTCAATCGCTAAGTCGTGTCCGACTCTGCGACCCCATGCACTGGTCTCTGAGAAAATCTCCGGTAACTTAAAACACAGGGGCCGGGGTTAGAAAAGAGGGACGAAGCCACCTGGATCTTGAAAGGATACCTCGAGGCCATTTTGAAGTGGCCTGTTTCAGCAGCCCCAGTCCCAGAAGCCTCTGGCTGAGGAGACCCTACAGGGAGCCACCCCCGGGGTTGTCCTTGGAGAGAAGCTGATGGCACTTCCTGACAGATGCCAGGGGCCCTGGGGGAGGGGGCAATGCGTGTGGCTTGCAGCTGTGCACGGAGTGCGTGTGAGTTCGTGGATGGCAGAAATGGAGAGCCGCCAGGCACCTGCTCCCAGTCGGCTACCCTCCGGGTCACTATTCTTAGCCAGGGGCTGAAACACAGGGTTTGGAGGACCTACCGAAGAACCTTTGCAGGATATTCACAAACGTGCAACTAGAAGCTTGGCCTACAAACATTAAAAAAAAAAAAAAACCCTTAAAAAATTTTTTTTAATTAAGACAAAAAAATAAAAAGATGTGTCTCTGGAACTGAATCACTTTGCTATACAGCAGAGATTAGCACAACATTGTAAATCAACTGTTTCAATTATGAAAAGTTTTTTTTGAAGGACTTTACTAAAATACTAAGTTGCTGATTGAATTATAAGGGTTTCTCTTGAGTATTCATTTCAAAATGAACATATGTTTGTTTCAGGAAAAATGTTTTCAATGGGACAAGAGCTGCTTACAAAAAGGTAAGCAGAAGTATAGTGGGAGATTACGGAGGAGGGGGGTCTTACCCAGTCTGGGATAAGAAGTCAGGGAAAGCTTCCCTAAGAATGTGACACAGGAACAAAGTCTGAAGGGAAGGTAAAAAGGGAGGTGGGGAGAGAATTCCAAGCAGTTGTTGAGTTGCTGAGCTGTGACTAACTCTTTTGGGACTCCATGGACTGACTGTAGCTTGCCAGGCTCTTCTATGAGATTTCCCAGGCAAGAATACTGGAGTGAGTTACCATTTCCTTCTCCAGAGGATCTTTCCAATCCAGGGATCAAACCAGAATATCCTTCGTTGGCAGGAGGATCTCTTTACCACTGAACCACCTGGGAAGCCTCTATGTTCGAAGGTAAAAGGTGTGGAAATCATGGCCTGTCCAAGGCACCTTAAGGAAATACCTTGGCCTGAGAGTCAGCGTTGGAGAAAGCTGAATGGGTAGGATAGGGGCCAAGTTAGGAAGGGTTGTGTGCTGTAAAAAGGGGTTCAGTCTCATCCTGAAGAACATGGAGACACTAAAGGATTTCTGTCCAGAGAAATAATGTGTTAATTTTAAGAAAACTTATACTAAATTAACAGAAAAACTAGTAGGATAAGAGTATGGTTAAGTCACCAGATGCAGTTTTCCTATGTAACAGTCACCACCAGTTAGAAAACATAATGAAGGAAACGCATTGCTTTCATTTATAGTGGCAACAAAAACTCGAAGTACCTAGGAATAAAATTAACAAATATGTGAAAACTATGTATGTTTACTGCTGGACAGAAAGGAAAACTTCATAAATGAAGAGACACCATATTTCTAGATAGCCAACCTCGGTTTTATAAAGCTGTCAATTCTCCCCCAAATAAACCTATAAATCAGGGCAGTTTTTGTAAAACTCAGTAGTCTTTTGGAAACTTGACAAAATGATTCTAAAGTTCATTTGGAAAAGTATATAGAAAAGCTGACAAGCATTTTAGGGGGGAAATATTATGAGGTTAGATTTGCCCTCCCTGATATATTAAAAAAAAGTAGCATAATATACTAGAAACAAGTTGGTACTGGAACAGGAAGAGATGCATAGATCAACACTACTAAACGGTCCTACCTCATAGGAATGGGAATTTGGTGGATGCTGAAGTGGCATTGACTGTGTGGATCACAATAAACTGTGGAAAATTCTGAAAGAGATGGGAATACCAGACCACCTGACCTGCCTCTTGAGAAACCTGTATGCAGGTCAGGAAGCAACAGTTAGAACTAGACATGGAACAACAGACTAGTTCCAAATAGGAAAAGGAGTACGTCAAGGCTGTATATTGTCACCCTGCTTATTTAACTTATATGCAGAGTACATCATGAGAAACGCTGGGCTGGAAGAAGCACAAGCTGGAATCAAGATTGCCGGGCTAAATATCAATAACCTCAGATATGCAGATGACACCATCCTTATGGCAGAAAGTGAAGAGGAACTAAAGAGCCTCTTGATGAAGGTGAAAGAGGAAAGTGAAAAGCTGGCTTAAAGCTTAACATTCAGAAAACTAAGATCATGGCATCTGGTCCCATCACCTCATGGGAACTAGATGGGGAGACAGTGGAAACAGTGTCAGACTTTATTTTTTGGGGCTCCAAAATCACTGCAGATGGTGACTGCAGCCATGAAATTAAAAGACACTTACTCCTTGGAAGGAAAGTGATGACCAATCTAGATAGCATATTGAAAAGCAGACACATTACTTTGCCAACAAAGGTCCATCTGGTCAAGGCTATGGTTTTTCCAGTGGTCATGTATGGATGTGAGAGTTGGACTGTGAAGAAAGCTGAGCACTGAAGAATTGATGCTTTTGAACTGTGGTGTTGGAGAAGACTCTTGAGAGTCCCTTGGACTGCAAAGAGATCCAACCAGTCCATCCTGAAGGAGATCAGTCCTGGGTGTTCATTGGAAGAACTGATGCTGAAGCTGAAGCTCCAGTACTTTGGCCACCTGATGCGAAGAGTTGACTCATTGGAAAAGACCCTGATGCTGGGAGGGATTGGGGGCAGCAGGAAAAGGGGATGACAGAGGATGAGATGGCTGGATGGCATCACTGACTCGATGGACATGAGTTTGAATAAACTCCGAGAGTTGGTTATGGACAGGGAGGCCTGGTGTGCTGCGATTCATGGGGTCGCAAAGAGTCGGACACGACTGAGCGACTGAACTGAACTGAAAGTGGCATTTCAATTGGGTGGGAGGGCAAGAATGGGTTCAAATGATGTTGAAACAATTGGTAGTCATGTGGGGGAAAGTGACTCAGTATTTCAAAATATGTTCTAGATGGATTAAAGATCCAGGCCTTAAACAAAACAAACCCTATAACGTCACCAGAAGACTATATAGAGGATTATCTTTCAGAACTTGGGCATAGGGAGTGTTCTGAGGCTGTCATAAAAAAGCAGCCAGTTGGCAGGTTTAACTACTTAAAAATGAAAATCTGGGCGGCTGACTGGTTTGGTGATGTGGAGGGTGGGGTATTCTGGGCTACAGGTGGGGCAGAGGTCAACCCCACTCCTACCGCACCTCACCCCAGCCTCCATGGAGAGGCGATGGCAGAGGAAGAAGGCCCAACTATTGAAGCGCACCAAAGCAAAAAGACCAAGTCTTTGGAAAAGAAAGAATCTGCCAAACTAGAGAAGATCAGTGACACTCAAGTTCCCGAAAGAGCTTCGAAAAGTAACAGGGTTGCAAAGCAGAATATTACAAGAGTGCCTTGGTTATCTGGTACATTTAATTACAGGACTCTTGCCTGGAAAATCCCATGGGAGAAGCCTGGTAGGCTACAGTCCATGGGGTCTCAAAGAGTCGGACATGACTGAGCCACTTTACTTAATTAATTACAGGAAAGAGATGAATTCAGAACCGAATTGGCCTCTGCAAGCAGGAATGAAGGGGAAAGTAGCAAATCCAAAATTTCTGGCACTTGTTGTATTTAAGATAGATCTCTGTTTTTTTTTCAATTAGTAACAAATAAAATCAAGAAATACTTTGAGTAACAAAGGCTGATTAAGATGAATCCTCCCAGCAGTGACCAAATCAAGGTCATGGCTGTCACATAGTTTGGTAAAATGTCTTGAACAGATCAAGGTAGTTGCAAGGAAGTTCTTTCAGTTGGACCAAGCACCTAGGGAAAGAGAACAAAGGGTGTGATCCCACCAAAGCTTGATGAATTCAAAATATGTGGAGTTATACCTAGGAGACAGACCTAGAAAAATATTCTGAATCTAGGAATATGAAGCTGACTGGTACCAAGCAGGTAAAGAGCCAACAAAACTCTTTTCTTTGCAAAAATGAATAATTTTTCATTTTAAAAAAATTAAGGTATAATTAACATAAATAAAACGCAGAATCTTAGGTGTTTCATTAAATGTGTTTTGACATTTGAATACAGCTGAAACAAGATGCAGAACATTTTCATTATCCCAGAAAGTCCCTTTGAACCTCTTTCCGGTAGATTTCGCCCACTTCCCTCAAAACCACCACTCTTCTGATACTTTTTCAATATTGCTTAATTAACTTTGCATGTTCTGGAATTTCACTTAAATGAAATCATACAATTATAAAAATGAAAAGCTGTAAGACAAAAGATGCCATGTTGTTGTTGTATAGTCACTAAGTCATGTCAGACTCTGGCCCGCAGCCCACCTGGCTCCTCTGTCCATGGGATTTCCCAGGCAAGAAAATTGGAGTGGGTTGCCATTTCCTTCTCCAGGAGATCTTCCAGACCCAGGGGTTGAATCCTTGTATCCTGTGTTGACAGGCAGATTCTTTACCACTGAGCCACCGGGAAAGCTCAAAGATGCCATAAACAAAATGCAAATATAAAGTAAGTTGATATTTGTAGCTTGTTAAATAGTGAAGGTTAACAACCATACTAGGAAATAAATATCTGTATGTTTAACTGTATATCGTAGACACATAGATCATTTTTGGATTGTCTT